TTTGTTGCTTATTGTATAACATAAAAAAGTTCTGTTTTTAGACCTCTTTGTTGTTTATTAAGAGTGTTTTGTTGTTTTGAGGGTAGTTGACCACCCTTAAGCCTTGAAAGGCCATCATTTTGAGCCATTTTGTGTTAGCTCCGGATTTTGGTGTTGGGGTCTCTTCACCACTGAAATCTTGAGGGATTTCAGTGGTAAAGATGATGCCTTGAAGTCCCAAGAAGGAGAGGGCCACCCCCTCTCCTTGTTGTCCTTGAAAAGGGCATATCTTGGCCTCTTGAGAGAGCATTATGCCTTGAGTGTTGTTGAGCATGTTTGGTCTATTTTTCATGCTTATATATCCATAATATACACATGATTTCAAGTTGGTTTTTGGTACTCCATACATGTTTAGCATAGTTGCTTTGTAATGCCTTGTTATGCCTTAACATGTCTTAGGTTGTTAGCCTTGTTGGAACATGTTTTAGGCTTGGTCTTGTGAAGATTATGTGCTTTATTTTTCCATGTTTTTAGGTCTGTCCATAAGTGTTTGGGTCGATTTTGGCGTGCTTGATATAGCTCCTTTGTATTTGGGCTTGTTAGCTTTGAGTATGTGCATGTGTAGCATGACACCTTTGCATCGAATTGGTGATTTGGGGTCCCTCCACATGTTATTTCAGTCCCATTTCCATGCTTGTTTGATTGCCTTGCATGCCTCTTTAATGCTTGGGAAGCTTGTGTAGCAATGCTCCATGTTTTGGTGTCTATGTATGCCTTTGTATTTGAGCCACTTAGATGCCATCTAAGGAGTCCTTTGGCCTTGTTTTAACATGCTAAAAAATCTGTTTTAGTAGTTTAATGCATGCCATGTTTGTTGTGATAAACATGCTTCAAAGCTTCATGACTTGCTTCAAGTACTTGGACCATGCTTGCATGCACTTGCTTGTCTTGTTTAATGTGATTTGGCATCATTTTATAACATGATTTTAGAGCTCGCGTTGCATGCCAATTGTTCATGATTGCCTCTTTCAAGTGTGCTTGAATGTTGCTTGCTTTTGCCTAAGTGTTGGGCCTTAACATGTGTATGTGTGTATGTATGTTTAGCCTTCATTTTTGGCGTTATGGCTACTGTTTTGGGCCTTATTAGAGCTGCCTAATCCATGTATAAGTCCATCTTTCCATTGGTTTGCATTGCCATATGATATGCTTGTATGCTTGCATAAGCTTGTTGCCATGCCATGTTGCATCCTTAGCTTGTATGCCTAGGTTGCATTGCATCTATGCATGCATGCCTTGTTCCTTGAATTGATGATAGGAATTGGGCCTTGTTTGGTTGGATTTGGTTTGCATGCATTTGAAATCAAATTTGCATACTTGGTTCTTTGGGCCATCATGCATGGAAATGCGTAATTGGTGGTCCGAGAATCGAGGCACATGCCCCTTTGAGTCATTATCATGATAAGGGATATGGTTGGTGCATACATGCCTTGAATTGTGCTGCCATGCTTTGGTTTTGCCCTCTGTTGCTGTGAGTTGCAGGTTCTGCAGGCTTTCTTTTGCCGACCGGCAGTGTAAGGTGCCGGCCGGCAATCTTTCCTCTGCCGACATACATTTCGTGCCGATGGCCACACACCAGTGCCGGTGGTAATTCCACTCAGCACGGTGGCCACTCCCAGTGTCCAGGATGCAGTCCTGAGGTTTTGACAACCTCCAGAGGAGCAGGGAAAGAAAACAGAGGCAGCTTGCGCATGGCAGCGCGTTTCCCGAGGCGTTTTATTTCCTGTTTTAATTAATTTATTTAAATTGTTAATTAATTAATTAATTTGTAATATTAATTAGCTGGCGTAATTAATTAATTTGTAATATTTATTTGGTCCCTCCGAGCGAGGGAAATCTGTAATAAGTGTGCGTGGGTGGTGTGTATGTCTTCCAATCCCCACTTCTTTCTTCCCTTTTACTTACCTGCTGTTATGGTTAGTATTAGGGCACGTTTAATTTAGCATACTTTATGCTATGCATGTGTGCATCCATACATTTGTATCAATGATATTTAGGCTCGGTACATCACGCTAACTGCATTTGTACTTCAAATTCTAAACTGAATATGTGATAATTGTGCATTTCTCACATGCCATGTTTAGGATAGCCGAGCCTATTCTAGCAACACTTTGTATGCGATGCATTAGGCACTTAACATGGACTTGGATCATGCATGTTTGCTAACGAGTTCTTTGTTTTGGCACGAGTACAATGTAAGTATTTCCGCTTTAGCATATCGCATGAGGTGTGAATGTTGCCATGTCAGCATGCTTAACATGTGGCTAGATGCTTATGTGTTATAAACTGCTTGGATGCCTGTGGGTGAAGGTTGGATTGTTTGAGTTGGAAGAACTCATTGAAATCCGTGTTTTAGCCTACTTGCGAGTAGCAAATCCAAAGCATTTTCAAAACAAACGGATATGCAATGTTTTATTCCCCAGTTAGGCAATCTAGTCTATACTTGTTTGCTGTGCGCATAACATAGTAATTCTAGGCTAATAATGGTTTAAGAACACATAACGTTTTCAAAAACGGATATCACGGTTAGTAGAGGCCGGTCTTCGGACCGGGCGAAAGGGGGTGCTCATAGCTGACCTTCCCGCTCGTTACCCAAGCTCCCGAGCCGAGACAACTCCGGTGATGACGGACATGTGGCCTTCGCACCGAGTCAGGGTTTCCTAAATTTTCCCATTTTAAAAAAACATTTAGGTGGCGACTCTGTATCTGGCAAAGCAGTCCATGTTTGGCACTACTTTTTCAAAAATCTGTTTCTCTCAAAACGATTTGCCAGATTTGGACTCTTTGGTTCAGATTAAGAACCGTGACACAAGTCGAGTCCGAACTATGGTAACCCCAAATGAACAGAACAGGACTCATCCTCCCAGGGCGTTCGGGGACGTCTACACCAGTGTCATCAAGAGGGAACCTGTAATTCAATACAAGTGTCAAAGGCACATAAAAAAAGAGTTAAAACCAATATGAAGGAACCTGTAATTCAATACAAGTGTCAAAGGCGCATAAAAAAAATTAACAAAAAAAAGAGTTAAAAACCAATATGAAAAGAAGTTTGATCAATGATAATACTCTAAACAAAAAGATATATGTATATAATAAAACATCCCAATGCTCAAATAAGAACTTTTGTACAATTGTAGTAGTAGGATGCAATTGAAGCAATTTGCTAGATACAAAAACAACAAATTAGCTATGAGGTACTAACTTGGGATGAGTGCCAAACATATTGCCAAAGTTAACACAAGTTCCATTGATACATAAACACAATAAAGCAAGAAAATATCCCTAACAACCCCGATGCTCAAACCCAAAGAACAATATGATTCAGATGTTACCACCGACAGACATTCTTAAATCTAATACAGAACATCAGCAGAACAAGTTGTGTGTGCTTCTTTGTTTTGTTATATCCTCACATGACGACACAATTGTGTTAAATAAATGTACTAGAGGAAACAAAGAGCACTTCATCATGTAATAAACATGTCAATGTAACACATACAGAAATAATACTGTACTAGAGGAAACAAAGAGCACTTCATCATGTAATAAACATGTCAGTGTAACACATACAGAAATAATATAAAGAGCACTTCATCATGGAAATCCCATTTCTTCACCTTCAGTCTATATCGTAACCCTCAGTTTTGTTCCATCTTAGCCTAAAATTTTTAGTATTCACTTTTTAACAAATTAATATAAAATCCTACTGTATGTCATGAGGTATAGCTACCAAAAAATACCTTAAGACAATCTAGATCGGATAGAGGCCTTGTCAGATCCTTAACATTGAAATACTTTGCAACAAAGTCAGTAACAAGAATGGGTTCGTAGAATGCTCTGGCTGACATATCTGCAAAACAACATTTAGATGTCCGATTAAGAATGATCAACAACATCATAATTTTTGGAGCAGGCCCATAATAACCTCAGCCAGTGCTATATATTTCCTAAAAAATGGGAAGAGGGAGTGGGGAATTGAAAAATATTTCTACCAATATTAAGGGAGAGGCCCATCTGAATAGGACGAAGACTTTGATAGAATGCTTTCCAATATTGAAATCCATTTCCAAGGTCACCTACACCAACGCTTGGAGAGAAGAATGACCTTCCCACAACTACATTACTGCAATCAAAAGCTTCAAAATCAATCACCCCAGTTCCCAGAAATTGATATACCACATGACCAAGATAAAAAGAAACAAAACAAGAGTTCAAGCCAAAAAAAAACAAAAAATTAATAATAGTTATTGGTCAGTGAAAGAAATCACTTCATCAGTAGTGTTGCCCTTAAAACCACATCAAGAACTTGTATAGTTTCTTGTGGGGTATCAAGTTGTCTACCACGCATGAATTCTTGAAGATGATGTATGTCAGGTTTAGCAGCAAATTTGATTGAGACCTTAAATTCACGATCCTTCCTGCAATTAAAGCAAGCATAGCATTAACTTCAACTAAAGCATACCATATTTTCTTGTTGGCACAAATTCGCATCTAGATAATGACATACGAGCCACCATCTTACTCAAAATAAATAAGAAAAAGATTAAAGCTAGTTTTCCATTTGAGTTGAAAAGCAATTGATAATAAGGTTACTATTTTCAATGCTCTTCACCAATCACACTTCAATAAAGACACATATATACAACTCAACTATAACAAATTGCAATGAAACCACAAAATAGAGATAACCTTGCTCCTCGATCTTGGTCGACGAGCTTGATGACAAAGTCCTTGGAAGAAAAAGGCAAAGGCCCAGCAGTGTAGACACTCTTCCTTCCATCATAAGCTAGCTGTCGCTTGCCCAAGTGTGACTCACGGTACAATTCAACAAGCTTGTTAATGATTTCCCGATGGAGTTTTTTGGAAATAAACTTAGGTGTGATTGATACCTATATATATCATTAAGTGAAATTGTGATATAACCATAACAAGAATTAGTTGTAGAGAGGCAAATTACAAAACAGCAATGCCAACAGAAACAAAACTGAAACCAATAAACTACTATGCAACACAGTATACAAAACTCAAAAAGAGCAGGCAAAATATTTCATAAACTATCTTGGTTCATAAAAACTTCTATTATTTGCATCTACATTATACATGGACAAAAATAGCAATTAAAAAAAAAAAACTAAGCAAGCAATCAAAACTCAAGATTTTAACATTAATATGTTAACCCACAAGACAAGGATATGAAATTGATAAACAATATAAACACATGTATATGATGTACTTGTATAAAACAGAGGTATATACCAGTCATGGCTAGAATTTTCAGTGGGGAGCAGAGCATCATCAGTGGGGAGCCTCAAATCATCCTTGGTGTTTCCATTTTCAGTCAAAAGACTCACCTAAACAAAATACGAATTTCAGTTGCCAATGTGACATTTTGTCGAGCACCTTGCAGACACAAAAAGTATATAGCATGATTCATCTTTGCTATACACAGAGAAACTATACAGATGAGAGAAAAAACAATCCAAAATCAGCAAATAAAGATCAAACCATTTCAGAACTGAATTCAAAACTAATTCACTCATCAGATCAGAGAAGAACCAGATTTCAGAAAAATAGAGAGAGAAATGGAAGTTTTCTTACCTGTGATAATGGTGGCCCGGAGATCCTTGGTCGATCTGGAGATAATTTCAGATAGATCGAAGAGGAAGGGCTGAGTCGATCAAAGTGGAATCGCATACGCAGTGACGGTGGTGCTCGTGTGCGATGGCAGTGATGCTCCTGTACCCGACAACGATGGAGACAACGGCAAGAGAGAGAGCTGGAGGAGGGCAGAGGCGTGAGAGAGTGAGAAAGAGAGAGAGAAAAGAAAGAAGTAACACAATTTGCCTCCAAAGTTTCCCTCAGATATGAAGCACAATTTTTAAATTTTATAATTATAATCGCCGACTAATATTTAGTCGGTAAAAGTAAAATAACAACTTCAAAAAAAAATTAAAATAAAAGTAACAAATATATTAAAATTATATTTAAATAAAATATAAGTAATAAAATTATAAATTAAAAACAAAAGGTAAAAATTAAATTATCTTAAATATTTGTCCTAATATTTTTTTTACTGAAAAATATAATAATATATTTTAAAATTTTATATTCTTATATTTTCTTATATTCTTATATTCATGACTAACTAGGCACTAATCAATTTTTTAGAATTTTAGAACATGCAATATGTATATTTTCTCATAGATAAAGACAGATGAAGAAATCATGTGTCAAGTGGATTTAATTAATTTATTATTCAGTTGTAACTAGCAGTCAAAATCATTAGCGCATAACTAAAAAATATATACGCATAGCCCCAGTTTAGGCCTTCAGTTCAATTAGCATTAAATCGCCAATCACTTTTATAGATCCCTCAAATTTTAAAAAAAAATATATCTAAATTAAGTGAATTAAGTGAGTACTTATTTTGTATTTTAAAAAAATCACAAATATTTTCTTTTTTAAAAATATCTAAATTAAGTGAGTCTAAAAAATAAACAAATTTGCTTAAAATATTTAAAAAAGTTGAAAAAATTAATTATTAAAAAATTAAGAAAAATTTTAAAATCTGAAATAATATCAATAAGTCTTACAAATCAGATTTATTTACTTGTAAGTCATGAGTGAATTTTTTTTACACACTTAGCCCTCGTTTTGATAATGATATTGAAAAATTGAAAATTTTATTTAAATGATAAATTATTACATTTTAAAAATATTCATTACATTTTAATAATATTACATTTTAATAATATTAATTTTTCATTACAACCCTACAGAAATTACCATTACCTAAAGGAACACTTTACCATTATTAATCATTCGGCTACCAAACTATTTAGTAGCCAAAAGTAGTCCTTTGGCGACTAAAACGTAATTTAGTCGGTGAATCCCCTGTTTTTGGAGACTAAAATTTTGGTCGCCAAAGGTATTTTATAAATTTTTTTATTTTCATTCGGCTACCAAACTATTTAGTAGCCAAAAGTAGATCTTTGGTGACTAAAATTGTGATATGTTTAGCTACTAAAAAATTTTTTAGTCGCCAATTGTATTTTTTTTAGCTACTAAATTTTTTTTAGTCGCCAATAATCAACATTCCCCTACTAAAAGATATTAGTAGGTAAAAGGTTGACTTTTGCCGACTAAAATTAATTTTGGTAGCCAATTCCCACACTTTTGGCGACTAAATTTGTTTTGGTAGCCAAAAATAGTCGGCAAAAATGTGTTTTCTTGTAGTGCATGGAAGTGTCCTTCAAGCTTTTTGGAGAAAATCACCTCTTGAAACCATAGCCTCTCTTCCCTTGAAAGCCTAGCCTCTCTTTGATGCAAAAACAATTTCAGAACCCTAATCCACCCTTTTTCTTGCCTATTTATACTTCTGATGTCTTGCCGACAGGTTTAAAACATCGGGCACGTTTTTCCAGAAAAGTCAACACACGTGCAGGAATCTGTTTTCTCTCCAAATTCTGTCTTTTTGCCCATTTTATGCTCCGACTATGTACAACCTGATTGACATTAAACACACATAAAGTATACAGTTTGACAAGCAAGTAAAGTTAAGAGATCCTAATTAACGGCCTCAATGTTGTACAATTTGGCCTTAATCACATCCCCCAACTTACAACTTGCTAGTCCTCAAGCAAGTAATAAAAATAAAATTAAATTAAACAAAATCTAGCCATTTCCTCTTTCGTGGGAAAACGGTTGCATTTAGCATATGCAACAACCCTTTAAACCACAAAGTTACCCCAAGTGGACGAGTAAAGTCTCGTGAGGGTTTCCAGAAATGATACCCACAAACATTAACATATTCATATATGCCCAACAATTAACCATACTACCCCACCTAACAATCAACTTATGTGCCACTACAGTGTGATATTAAGACATAATAAGTCATTAAAGGCACAGTGGACAAGCATGAAGGAATTTATTGAGTCAAAACCACAATTCAATTAATACAAAAGTAAGTCCTCTGTATTTGTGCATGCTAGTAGACAAATCATCAGTATCCTCGGTGTAAAGTGCAATCTCCATATTAGTTAACTATCCACTATAATAGCCCAGTGTAACTCATAATAACACCCAACATATACAGAAAAACTAAACTTTTGCAGCCAAGATTCTCAAAAGTTTTTTTGTTTTTGTTTTTGTTTTTAAATGACTGTGCAATGTCCTGATCCATTAAGCTTTCTAATCAACCCATGTAGCAAGTATTGGGCCAATGACTCCCAAATCAGACGGTTTTAGGGCACTAGGTGTAGAGACACCCCTATGGGCTTAATAACTCGAGTTGAAAAGGCTACGAATCCGAACAAGTCATTCCTTAGTTTTCCTTAACTGTGCAATGTCTAAGTCACTTAAGCTTTCTAATTAACCCATGTAGCAAGTATTGGGCCAATGACTCCCAAACCAGACGATTTTAGGGCACTAGGTGTAAAGACACCCCTGCAGGCTTAATAACTCGAGTTAAAAAGGTTACGAACCCAAACAAGTCAAGTGTTTTTTTTTTTTAATGGAATCTTGGCTTCTATAACCCTAGCCATTGTCAATGATGTACACCAGGGATTATAATAAAGAGGTCACCGCTATGATAGTGTGTTCATGTGAATTAAGGCATACTCATGACAAGTGTACTAATACCACAAACACAGACAACTCTCCTAGTGCAAACGTCACATGCAAGTATCTACCTAATAAACCCTTTTCATACAAGTCTACTATGCTCCTCAATTAACATATGCAAATATCATCACCCTACTAGCAACAAGTCACATCAAGTGAAGTAATGCAATCAAGTGAAACAAGCATAAGCATGAATGATTGAGCCAAATAGAAATGCACAAAAGAAAATACAACCCTCATCCCCCAACTTGAATATGACATTGTCCTCAATGGAAAAGTAAAGAGAAATGAGAGAAGATTACCAGAGATTGTAGGTGCACATCCAGGTAGGCATATAGTAACACACACACACACACACACTTTTCACACTTTTTTCTTTTTTTTTTCTTTTTTTTTTTTGGAAGAAAAGAAGAAAGAACTAAAAAAGAAAAAAGAAAAAAGAAAATAAAATAATGAGACAAAGCAATATATAGGTTGGTACTACGGAGAACCCAGTGGCGGTGGTGGCAGCAAATGCTGGGCAAACAAGGCATTCATCAAAGATCGCGTCTCAAAGGCTTCATCTTGAACCCATTGGCCAAGCTGATCAAAATGTTGCTGGCTTGACTCACGATACGCATAAAAGTCAGTTTGCAATGATGCAACTGACTGCTAAATGTCGAGCTGGCGGGCGTGTAGCTGGTCAAAGGCTGCTTGAGAATAGTCTCGATGCGCTTGAAAATCTGTGCGCAACCCCATAACACTCTGGTGGTGATCACGAAGAGAACTGTGGACCTGATCCACCGAGTGCTAAAGCTATAAGTACTCCTCGCGAGTCATGTTGAATGAGTCCCCTTGCGGAGGCACAAGGGAGGCCGGATGAGCTGGTTGGTCGTGGACAAGGTCCGAGGCCTCGTCAACCGGGGCACCAACCTGCTACAGAATGCGAAATAGGCTATGTTGCCATTCCCGTTGCTCGAAAGTCGGATAAGCTCGATCAATCTCCTTAGTCGAATCAATGGGGAGGCCGTTTAGCTCAAAAACAAGTGTCAGCAAGTTGGCAAATGGTAGCGGCCAAGTCTGGTTCTGCATAGGTTGAGGAAGAACTGCCTCTCGTAGAAATTTTTGCATATGCATCCAGATGATGTGTGCAAGCGAGACCTGATAGCCATGCTGATAACCGTATAAGACTCGAACAAACTCCAAGCGGCGCCCAGCTTTATGTCCAAGTGGAAGGGCATTCTTATGGACCACGGAATCAATGAATAGTAAGCGGCCAGGTAGCTTGCTCCGCCGTAAGCATGTGAAACTTGTGTCACCGTGGGCTCGCCGGAAGTATTGTTGGATGAGGCTATGTATGGGTTGTTGGTCCTCAACTTCCTAGAAGGGCTGGTATTCCGGCTTAGAGAAGAACCCTAACGCGGTGGCAATCATGGATGCGATGATCTGGACAAGATGACCATCAATGGTGGATAGCAGTCCGTCCTCGGTGAGTGACTCATACAGGTTCTGGTAGAAGAGTCGTACTAGACGAGAATAAGTGGGCGCTGTCATTGTGCAAAGGCCCAACTGTTGCCAGAGTTGGAGCTGCTCAACGGCCCAAGAAGTGGCCGGGTCACGCTGAAAATATGAAATATTGAACTGCGTGAGCTTATGAAGCGAGCGTGAAGCCCACTCTGGCCGTGGCAAGTCACTTGGTGGTGGTGGCAAGGATGGTGGTGACGGTGGCGGTGGTGGCGCCGAGGAGGTGGAACCTCTGGCCTTTTGGAGGCCCGAGCGGATATACGCCGACTCATGTCCTGCACACACCAATAATAAACACATATATCCGTGAAACCAACATGAGAATCAAATAAAATATTAAAGCACAAGTCTGCCCACTGATGTTCCACATGCAATTCTTATTATTTTTTTTATTACAAAATGAAATAAAATAATTTAAACTTACATATTAACATTTTAACAAGTAGTATATTAAACAAACAAGTACTATTAAGACAATAAACTACATCTAAACAACTAAATAAATAGATAGAAAATACAATGAATTAGAAAAGCTAGGAATTAATTTTTTATTTTTTTATTTTATT